GGCGGCGACGATGGTGGTGGATAGATTTGAAAAAAAAAAGAGAATATCAAACTTAATTTGCAACGTGATCGGATTAAACAAAGTTTCATTCTTCAGTATGATAAAAAAAAAAAAACAAACAAACAAAAAAAAAAAAAAAAAAAAACTTAGCTACCTCTTCTTTGGTTGTACAGTGGAGCCCCTCCTATTCTTTGTGAAAAAACTCATATTGGTTTTGAATCGCATCTTCCTTCTTCGAATTCGTGAGAATTGATCGGAACAACTCTTCATCATCATCATATAGTTTGTTATTCGTGATTAGAGTAACAAACAAGAAATTAATATCACTAATCGAGTGAATCAGCAATAGTCATATTCGAACCAGACTATAGTCACATTACTGTTGCTACTTCAGATCTGGAGAGAAAAAATAAATAAAAAAAACCCAAAAATAACTAGAGGCTAGGGGGAGGCGACGACAACGTCGGTGAATGAAAGAGAGAGTGAGGGAGGCGGCTACGGTGGTGGTGGTGGACTGATCTGGAAAAAAAAAACTGAGAAATCGAGAAAAATAACGAAAAAGGGGAATCTCCGTGTAGAAATCACGCATCCGACGAAGGGCGATGACGAGGTAGGGGAGGCACCGCCGCCACCACTTGTACCGGACGTCGATGTGGTGGTGTTGGACGTGAGGGGAGACAATTTCCAACATCGGCGGAGGAGGACCTCCTGCATCGGGTTTCGGCCGGCCGACGATTGAAAGGTATTGTTGGCTCCGGCGGTGACGAGTGCACGAACAACGTTGGCTAGGGTGAGCGGACTACGGCCCTGGTGTGAAACATATGAAGGAGGACGACGGCAGTTAAAGATCTGCAGAAAGAAAAGAAAAACAAAAAAGAAAAAGAAAAAAAAAAGAGAGAAATTGAGAACGAGAGGGACACACACGGAGAGGGGGAAGATATACAAGAGTGAGATATAAAATTATATCACGTTAAAAGCCTAACCACATAAGGGCTCTTTAGTCTTATTATGTCTGATGAGGGGTCTCACTAATTCAAATTGAGATTAGGTTTTGGAAAAAGTCTTTAAAGTCAATTGGGTTTAATTCCAAATATTTTCTCAATGAGGGGCATTGCATATTACCCCATTGTAGTTTTAGTGTTGATTGGGGGATTGATTCTTCTACCCGTCTTGTTCATGAGGCCCACCAAAATCCTCTTCTTCATTTTTACTAGTACCATTCCACCACCGGGCAACATATTTTGGTAGCCAACCGCCGCTGGAGCTCAACCCTTTACCAACGCTCGTGCCCTCTTGTAGGTTTAACAAGCTTCGTACTGAGCTGCCATTTATGTATCCAGTAACTGCGGCGATCATGGACGGCAGCCAGGAGGAGCAGAAATAGGCGAGATTTCGCTTATGAACAAACGTCTTTGTGTCTTCGGGAGAACATGCGGCGCGGTCCTCCAGTCGATGGTGATTTTGAGGCGGCCGATTTGAGTGAACAGAGGTTTTGCTGAGGTACTTTGGGCAGCAATGATTCTTCCGGCCGGCGGTTTTGGGTAATGATGTGGAGGCGACGATCACATTTTTTTCAAATTTATAGCAGCAGAGCTCTGGACGGGATTCCTAGGCGGGACGGACGTTAGCAAGAATATTCCTGCAGCCTCCTCGTGTTAACGGTGGGGGAAAGAGTTGTTGGTAGCTCTTGGGGCTGCCATGGCTGGGTTTCACGCATTTTTCTTGTTTCTTTTTTTTTCACTTTTTTTATTTCTCACTCCCATAAAATAGGAATATTTTTGGAGATTTTTTTTCTTTCACTGATATGCCAAAGATTTGGCAAATTCAATCGGTCAAAGACTCAAAACACAGTAGATTGGAGAAGAAATTATACGACTTTCTATTATGTAAAAGGGAAATTTCACTCAATTACTTTGCGTCTTCCCCCTAAGCAAATAAGGGTTTTAACTTTTTTTTGTGGGTCTTTGTTTATTCCCGTCCCATATTTACGAGCAACAATGATTTCATACCCGTCATTGGATGGTTGAATTGACATGTAATTTTGACCTCAGAGGAAGAGATGAGGGGCGGAAATAGTCCAACTCAGTGTGCCAATTTGTTAACTTCAAATTTTTGCGTTACAAAATATATAAACGAGACAGGAAAAATAAGAAACAAATAAATTTATTAATCAACCGAAAGTTGATTACAATCTCCGTGAATTCCCCTGATTCTTCTGTCCTATTCTACATTTGATTCAAGGGCTTAAAGGTTTGTTCCTAAATCGAATAAATACGAACAACTCAAACTCAAATATATTATGAACTCGAGACTCAGACGTGAACTTGAGAGCTCGATATATGTCTGTGTGAGTTTGTCTTCTACATGCACCGAAAGCCTTCTTTTTACAGCCACGAGCTAGGATTTCTTGACTTGTAGGATGGGCTTGTCATTTTTAAAGCCCAAATATATTATGGACTTTGAGTGAGACCCAATTTAATAATCGATTTATTGGATTATTAATTGGTGATTTATCTCAACATTTTGATGTCTACATATACTATAGCCATGTTTAGCGATTTTCAGTTCAGTAAATTTATCAAAATTTGAATTATTAAAATAAAATTTAAAAAATGTATGTATAAAGTTAAAAAAAAATTAAAAATTAAAAAAAAAAATTAGAAAATTAAAAAAAATTGAAAGATTAAAAAAATTATTACATGAAAAAATACAATAATAAAAAAAAAGTAAAATATATATATGAATAAAAAATAAAAATAAAAATAATTTTATTAAAAAAAAATCAGCGAAAGTGATAAATGTAACGAGAAATGCTAAATGCAGTTGGTGGAATGCTGAATGCAGTTAGTGCAGAAATTGCATGTAAGGGCAACACAGTCTTTTAACATCTTCAGGGGTATCTCAAAAAAAAAATTTAGAAGTCAATGTATCCCTATTTATTTTCCATATTAAACGTGTATATCATATGTCCCGAATAAAACATAAAAAATTGGTTGTCCGATAAACACAAAAACGAAAAGAAAAAGATAAATGTTTCTTTGTTGACTTAAATTAGTTAATTGCAATAAAATTCTATTATAAGCACTTTACAAATAAGCCCATCAACGGGTATTTATTTATAAAGAGATCCAGACAATAAACTACTTTATAAAAAAATCCACACATGGTCCATAGGTTTGTAAAAGACTAAAATAGCTCCTCATACTTTAATATGTTCCAATTTCTTCATTTAATTTAATATAACCTCAATTTGACGCCAAATTTCACAAAGTATTCAATTTTGACCCAAAACACATTTTTATAGACAATTTCGTCCCTCACCGCCGTTGACCGCCAGTCTCCGATGTTGATTTTTTTTTTCCTTCCTGACTTTTCCACCGATTTCCGGCGTTGACTTTTTTTTTCTCTTCCTGATTTTATCGCCACCGGTTTCTGGCGTTGATTTTTTCGAACTTCTTATTTATTTATTCATTTTTTTTTCCTTTCGGTAACATATTTTTTTTCCCGTTTAAACAACAATATTGTTGTGATTGACAATAATATTAACTATATTACTGTTAAACACAGTAAAATTAACTACTATAGTTTAACACAGTAATATTGCTATATTAATCTATGGCACAATAATATTGACACAACAAGCTCATTATTATTGTGTAATAGAGTAATATTAATATGTTGAACGTTCAACAAATATAAACATAATAAAAAGCCAAAGAAATTAATATTAATGTGAGTGACGGTAATATTACTATAACAACAGTAATATTACCGTCAACCACAATAATATTACAATAATAGACAGTAATATTATTACTTTACTTCATGAATAACTCCAACAAAACAAAAAAAACCCAAAAATATAATAATATTGATGTGGTTAACAGTTATATTACTATAACAACAGTAATATTACCGTCAACCACAGTAATATTATTACGTTACTCCGTGAGTAACTCAAACAAAGCAAAAAAACCCAAAAAAATTAATAATACTGATGTGGTTGACAGTAATATTATTGTGTTTACATTTATTTTACCGTCAACGACAATAATATAATTAAGTTAACTTGTCAACAAATCAAACAAAATTAAAAAACAAATTAACAAAAAAAAATATTGTCATTGACACTAATTGTACTATCAACGACAGTACAATTACATAAATGTATTGTCAACGGCAATACAATTACGTTAATGTACTGTCAGTGACAGTATAATTACGTTAATTTACTGTCAGTGACAGTATAATTACCATTAATGACAGCACAGTTGCGGTCAACGTTTAGCGGCGGATGTTAAAAAGAAAAAGTTTTTGAGAAAAAGAAGTCAAAATTGGATTTTTGTGATCAAAATTGATTAAATTGGGGTTACAATTAAGAATTGATTGTAAAGGATTGGAGGTAATTTTGTCATATATATATCATTTTTTCCTTTATTAATAATAAATATTAAAGGGATGAGCTTATTGGTGAAAGAGATATAGCCCGTAAACCCCTTCTATTAATTGTACACAAAAGGAAAAAAAATAAAAAATAAAAAATAAAAAAACATAAATGATCTAGTGGTTAGTGTAATAATGAACCTGGTTTGAATCCTAAATGTAGCATAATAATGAACCCTTTGACTTGCTGCTTTGGCCGTCTTATATCTTCTAACGTTTGCTTTCCAAGCTTTTTATGAAGCTGTTCGTTCGTGAGATGATGAGCAACACCAACCTCCAGCCACGTTTTCCGCACGGAGGAAGTGCGGAAGCTTATCGGGAATCTCGATACCAACATTGGGAGTCCCGTTCAAATCGGGGAACTCATTTTCCCGACGGAGCTCCATGTACAGACGAGCTTGCTCTGGGGCGGTGAGATGGACCCCACGGAGCGAAGCAGGCTCGATAACGAGTTTCGGGTTCATATTTCAAAATTGATTGATTTGTTGGGAAATCCTAATGTTTCCGATTTTTTTCTGGTTTTGGCTTGGTTTGATTTGCAGGGAACCGCGGAAGAAATGAGGGGTGTGGTGGTGAACGAATTTTCGATTTTTTTATCGATGCAAAAGTGAAGAGCATGGCGGCTGGTGGTGGTATGGAGGGTGAAGAAAGGAGTAAGGACTTTTCTCAAGGATAAGCAACTCGGAGAAGGCTCAATATTTGGTTTAACTCAAATCAAGGCGATTTTGATGGTAATTTTCTCCACTTTCCTTCATTTTCATTTTTTTGTTATTTAACCTCGTTCTGTTTAGGGTTGAAACCAAAGTACGTTACTTGATTCGAAACCGTTCATTGAAAGCTCGCTTGAGCGCTTTTGTTAACATAAGGATCGGAAACACATTTTTTGAACACATACTTTGGTGAATTATTGACAAGCTATGATAATTTAGGTACTCGAACTTGATCCGTGTTAGCCTCTATTGCTTACCAATCCATGCTCAAACACAACTATAGATGCTAGGAAAAGAAAAAGAAAAGCGTAAATAGCACTTAACCCCCCATGTGGTTACAAGTTTGTGCTTGTAATATCAGCTCATGACCGGAGGCGTAACAACCAAGAGGGGTTTATCTGCAAAAGCTTGCACATCCACAAAGGGTTTAAGTGCTATTTACTCTTAAAAAAAAAGCAAACAACCATATATTCAACTCGACTCGATTCACTTACACCCCTAGTTATGTTGTTTCTTGAATATATTGGAGAAATATTATTTGAGTTCCAATTATTAAAATTCGCTAATCGTTTTTGTAGATATAAGCTAAAGTCAAATACACCCTTTGATGCTAACAATGTAACACGCTCGCAAAATTAGTTTGTGTTTCTTTACATGACACACATTCATATGCTCTTTGATAATAATAATAGGATATTGTTGTCGGGGGGACTGATACTACGGCAACGATGGTCGAGTGGGTGATGACCGAGCTTTTGCACAACCCGAGTATAATGCAAAAAGTGCAGCAAGAAGTAACAAATGTTGTAGGAGCGAACAATGTCGTTGAAGAATCCCACGCATCGAAACTACACTATCTCGAAGCGGTTGTAAAGGAAACATTCCGCCTACATCCTCCATTGCCACTCCTCGTTCCAAGGTATCTGAGTGAATCTTGCACGATCGGAGAGCACACAATCCCAAAGGGGTCAAGGGTCTTCTTGAACATGTGGTCAATCCACATGGACCCGCATGTTTGGGAGAATCCTTTACAATTTCGACCCGAGAGATTTTTGAATGATAACTCCGAAAAATTTGATTTCATTGGAAACAAAGTTGAGTATCTTCCGTTCGGATCGGGGAGAAGGGTGTGCTCTGGTATTCCACTGGCTGAGAAGATGGTAATGTATTTGTTGGCAACACTCGTTTATACGTACGAGTGGGGGTTGCCGGAGGGACAAAAGATTGACTTGTCGGAGAAATTTGGGATTGTCATGAGGAAAGAAACACCAGTCATTGTTGTTCCTTATCATAAATAACCAAATATGAACTTGTATTGTAAGCATAATTATATTATGTTTCTTGTATCTATCATATCATCTTAGGCCCAGTTTGGTTGCCAAGATAAGTCAAATTAACTATATAGTTGGACTTAATTTGATGTTTGGTATCCCCAATAAATTGCCGGGTCGATCCGCCAAAATTATGTAATCATGGCTTATTTTGTCTTATATTGGCTTATCTTGCCTTCTAGTGTGTTTTTTTCGTTGGACGTCCCGAGCTCCAATAAAATAATTGGGTTTCCTTAGACTATTTAATCTTATCTTAGCTAATCTTATTTTGCCAATCAGTCACTTTATTCTATACTTTGATGATCCTACGTTACAAATCACAATACTTGTATATCCTCTTAGGCCCCGTTTGGTTGGCAAGATAAGATTAGCCAAGATAAGATTAAATAATCTAATGAGACCCAATTATTTTATTTGAGCTTGAAAGGTCCAACAAAAAAAACTCATTAAAAGGCAAGATAAGCCAAGATAAGGCAAGATAACCCATGATTATATAATTTTGGCGGGTCGACCCGTCAAATTATTGAGGATACCAAACATCAAATTAAGTCCAACTATTTAGTTAATCATGGCTTATCTTGGCAACCAAACGGGACCTTAATTTCTTACTTTATCTCCCATTAATTGGTATTCTTACTTGCTGGATGGAAACTTAGAGTAATTTTTAGGATTTATTTAGATTTATTTTAATTTTCTGAAAATTTTCTACGTCAATATTTTCTAATATATCTGACGTTAATGTTGCCAAATTTCACCCATGTACAGGTCGGGTGATATTTTTGGTATTAAAGATCTTGTGTGAAGTAGTTTCAAAATGTAGGTGTTCTGTTCAATTGGTATTTTTTGGACTCACGAATAGCTGTAATCGTCCCTATGTCAGGAAAAAACGTCGGGGTGTTCACACGGTAAGTAAACTGAGCAAACCGTACCAAACCGAATTTTTGGTTCGGTATTCGGTAATTTATTTTTAAATTCTGGTATTGTTGAGTGTATATTTTACACTCAATGTATACTTTCTTACGAGGATTTTTGTATACTTTTATTGATTTAATAGTGCTTAATTAGTGGTTTATTGTATTTTAGGTACAACTTGACGATTTGGGAGTTCCAAGGATGAAACGAGCCAAAAAAGGTAAAATACGGGCAAAAACAGAAGAAAACAAAAATATGCTGAAAATTGGCCCGGCGCGGCCGTGCCAAATTTAGCCTATTTTTGGCGCGGCCGCGCCAACTGCAGAATTTGGGCAGAATGTTTCGGCGATTCTCGCGCGGCTGTGTGAGAATTGCACTGATTATCGCGCGGCCGTGTGAAAACATGCTGGAGACAATTTTGGAATCACACAAGGAAACCTAAAACTTCTACCAAGTTGGGACATCTATTTAAGGGCAAACCAAACACGGATTAGAGGACTTTTGAACATAATCTTAGAGGAAGAGGAGCGAGAGAACGAATAACGAAGATGAAGGCCTGACGAATCTTCATCATAATTCTTCTTTCATCTATCTTTTCTAAATCTATGACTTTTATTATGTTTTTCGTAGAGAATATGAGTAGCTAAGTTTTTAATCTAGGATTTTGTTGGAACCCTATGTGGGGATGGTGCACCCGTTTTCTTGAGATTATGCAATTATGATTTTATGGTTATTTCTTCTACTTGTTATGATTGTTAATTAGTGCATGAACCTGATCAATTTATGTGCTTTATCTGTGATTATTGGGATTGACTCGACAGAGCTATTTTGATAATTAGACGGTAAGTATAAGAACCTTCGAGTAGTTTTCACCGGATGAGTGTGTTAATTGCATGTGGTATCGTATACATAAATATATTCACCTTAGGTAATCATTGTTGAGTCTTATGCTTTAATGCTTTATTTATGATCGGATTGCATAGACATATTGTAATTTGGTTTTGGATAATAGAATTATAATACACGTGACAGCGGGTTATAATTAGTATAGTGTCTCAGATTAATAATCAGGAATCGTATATTTCATAATTGAGGGGTTTTGGGTGAGCAATTCTTGCATAGGGGGAGATAAAATCCTGATCCATTTTTATATTGATATTTTTTCGTATTTATTTGCTTTCATAATTAGTTTAATTATTTAGTTGATTAAATTTGACAACCTTGCGTAGGCTGGATAAAAATCATAATTGTTAGAATTTGGTACTTAGGATTAGCTAATTTTAGTATCCCCTGTGGGATCGACATCCGACTCTCACGAGTCCAATTTTGCTACATGTTTGCGATACGTGCACTTGCGTGTTAGGTATTTAGCTCAGCAAGTTTTTGGCGCCGTTGCCAGGGAATACGACTAAATTATTTATTTATTCTAATATCAAATTTGAGTAATTTTTCTTACTTCAGCCATTTATTTTTATTTTTAATTTTGGTTTTTTGTTTTTTTGTTACATGTCTGGTTACAATGTTGGGGCACCTCAAACGGGATATGAATGGCTTCCATCGGACGAATACTTCCAAAACACCTATGATATGCCTCCGTTTTGTTCAGCATGTGGTGGAAATCATTATTCCGATCAATGTTGGGGATCACCAAAAGCGACAAATTTCGTCGAAATTACCAACGGAGGTTATTGGAACACTTACACCAACACATACGAGCAAAGCTTTCAAGACCAAGATTTGAACGAGTTTCAACATAAATAGCCACAATTTGACGATTTTCAAAATTATTATCCAATGCAGGAGCAGACCACTGATGAACAACTTGATTTGGTATCCCTCATTGCCGAATTCATGAAGTCCACTCTAGCATCATTTCGAAACATGGAGATACAATTGGAAGAGATGACGCTCAAATTAAAATCTGAGTCTCTTGAAAATATTCCATACGAAATCGGCAATGGTTACATCAAAGAAATTTCGGGTGAAGCCTGCGGTGAGAAAAATCTTCCATGTCCAGAAAATAGTGTCGATATGAGAGAAAAAGAAATTACGAAGATACTTGAGCATGATGAATCTAAGAAGACAATCGAGCTAAACCACGAAGATGCCTCAGAACAAGAGAAGAAGGAGATAGATGTAATGATTGAAGATATTCTAGTTGTGGACCCTGTCATTGATCTAAATGTAGATTTGAAGGCATCAATAGAGGTTGATGAGAAGACGAATGTGTTTGAAGTGGAGGTTATACGCGGACGTGAGGTTTTTGTGTACCGATTTAAGGGAGCGGGTGATGAAGATCCCATCTTACCTTCGTACCGATTGATTACAACCAAGAACGACTACAAGCTAAGGTGGACCCTGACATATTGCAATGCTATCCATGCCTTGGTTGCAATTGAAGTGATAGAGCTCATGGGTGTATGCGCAATCTACAAGGCTTTGGATTGGACATAACAATTTCAAGAAGCAAAGTCCGGCTGAAGACTTAAAACTTAGCGCTTCTCGGGAGGCAACCCGAGCTTTACAGTTTTTCATATTTTTCTTTAATTTTATGTTTTATTTTCATTTTCATAGGCATGCATTCTAATTAATTTTATTTGATTTCTTATTTTTAAGGTCAGAATTGCGATCGGGGCAGTTATCCGGGAGACAGAGAGGGCATCTTCGCAAGAGGAAAATCAGATTTCTTTCCCACAAATTCTTACACCCCGAAGACAACGATTCCGACTAAATCAGGTATCTCTATCCTTAAACTTTGTGCTAATTTCGTTGAGGGCAACGAAAATTTTAAGTTTGGGGGTGAAAAACATGTTTTTTTGTACTTATTTGTTTTAGTTTGCATGCATTAGGTTTTATTAATTTTTATTTATTTTTATTGCTTTTATCGTTTTTTTCGGAATAAAAAAAACAATTGCTTGAGTCGACTGCATCGATGATTTATAATGATGGGAGATGATCAATGTTTGATGATGAGATTGCTTGTTTTGTGTGATAAGGATTAGATGTTTGTTTAGCTTTCCATTCAACGGAACTTAGAAACGAATTATTCCTAGTAATCACACTTTGTGCATTACTTTGGTTGAATGTTTTGTATTTTAAATTTAGAGTTAATGTGTGTTTAGATCATGCTATGTTCGGTTTTAGACCTCACCTTAGGAAATTTATGATACGAAGTATTGAGTAGTGAGTGATTTGGGCCTTCTTTGAACCGTTTGAGCCTTTCAAGCCGACCTTTTTATCGAAATTATCATTAGAACCTTGATTTGAGCCTCGGAGAAAAGGTGTTCTTTCTTTTAGCCAAAGTGTATAAGGTAGAAAAGTGGAGATTTTTGAAAAATTAACCCTTCGAGTTCGGTCGAAATTTTTTATAAGGTCCTTCTTCTTCGAAAAAAAAAGACAAATATATATGCTTCTATATATATATTTAAAAAAAAGAGAGAAATATATATGCTTTTTATATATATATATATATATATATATATATATATATATATATATATATATATATATATATATATATATATATATAAATTCAGAAAAGAGAGAGAAGAAGAAGATACTAAGGGAGATGAAAGGACTAGTTGTTGATTTTTTTTTAAAAAGCTTGATCCATTGTCTTAAGAGCAAAAGTGGAGACTTTTGAACTCTTAAGAATCGAGTTTATTAAAAGTCCTTGTGAATTCATTGTTTCAAACGCCTATCTTTCAAAATTTGGTGTAATCACCTCAATTCAAGAAGCATAGCCACATTAACCCATATTTCCTACCTCGAACCAAAAGGCCCAACATTTGAAAGCCAAAAAGTCCCAATGATCCCAATAGCTCAATTATTTGATACTAGCGGAGTAGAGAAATTTGGTGAGTCTTTGGAGTTGAACATTATTATGTAAGTATAAATTTTCTCCATTTTTAATTTACAAATATGGGATACTTGAAGCGATAGCATGTTTTGTGGTTTCTGCCAAGGGTGAGTGAATACGTATCTTTGAATTACGAGCTTGTAAATTTTTGAGAATTGTCAAGATAATTGCATGTTCTGAAAACATGAAAGTTGACCATTAATCTATGTG